GGGGCAGAAAGCGGAGAAGAAAGCAGATGAGAGAATTTTGTAATAGAGAGCAGGAAAGTAGGTGAAAGGAGACACTTTAAGAGAAGAAACATTTCCGTCGCTGTCCGGATTCGAACCCGGGACCTATTGAATGAAGAGAGGCGAACACCGTAGCCTTTTCGACCATGATAGCCCCCAGAGAGAGAAAGAAAGAGAAAAAAAAGAATGTATTGGATCTAGATGAGTTGTGGTGTAAGATCATGATTTATCCTACGAGTGAAATTGCCAAGTTGGAATCACGAGTTTCAACTAGCAATTTCACAAGTAGGATAAAACATGGTCTAACACTATAACGAGAGTAAAAAAAATACATTTATACCTTTCTGATATCAGCTGGTGAAATACACCCGAACCAACACCGTTCAAATGACCAGCCTTTTAGACAAAAGGATCCATTCTAGAGTCTCACATGAAAACATTTTCATGCCCGTCGGAGTCAGATTGAGAGTTGGGGAAAATCTGGATTGTTTTTCTTTACTTTTAGCCACGCTTATTGACAAGTTGTGCTATCTGTATGTCTCCCTCCGCGAAACAAATCTCAAACAAAACAATCATAAGTAAATAAGCAAAATAATCAGAAAACGAACAATTCAAAAATTGAAAGAAACTGCATTAATATAGCATGTTGTCGTTAGAATAGAGATGACTTTGCATAGGCAAAGCAAGCAGAAAACGTAAGATTCAAAAGATGAAACATTAAGAAACTGCATTTATATGTTGTGTTCTCGTGAGTATAGAGGTGACATTGATTTTAAGCTTTGCAACCAAAACAAACCAAAGGCTAGGAGTCGTTTGTTAGCATAGACTTGTGCACTACACTAAAATACAATGTCCCCGCACTCTGAAGCTATCTCGGTTCTACATAACAAGAGGGTTCACTCCTCTCTTTGAGCCAATTAAAAAAGTGTCCTCAAAATTCGGTGGCGCCATCTTGGCAAATGCGCACCCTTTGCGAACAGAACTACTCTACTTGTGTGAAAAAATCAAAGTGAAACTAGCAAATTTTTGAATAAGTAAGAAGTAAAATTTCGGAAGCACGCTTTTTAAAAATGGATACGCTGACAAAAAACCTCTTCTGGGGGAACCGGCGACTGTTTTCTTCGTTTAGTTTGACTTTAGAATGAGAGGCGAGAGGTCATTAAAAATTTTTTAAACCGTAATACTCCGCACTGAACGAGCCCAAACAGCTGATGAACAGCAGTTGATCTGGTCACGCAAGGGGGTGCTATTCCTATTCTTCTTCAGGGGAAACGAAAGGGAGCTTCAAACCAAAGACTGCTGCGCCATCTGAAGCAATGAGCGGACTTCCGCGGACACTTTTTGGGCTGAGTGGACCATCTTGTTACGTACTCTCTTTGTTATGGTGCACACCGTTTGGCTCAATTTGTTCCCAAATAAAGAGCAAATATATTGCGAGGAGTAATTTAGGCAAATGTTTATATTTTACTTGTGAGATATCGTCAGCTTAGGCCAAGATCTATATTTCACGTGAAATATAGGGATTTCTTTTACCGGAAGTGGAATGCTAAAACAACTCCAAGTATGGTATAAAATACAATTACGAACAGTATTTGTGAAGAGCAGAGCACACAACCGCTAAACAGCGAGATCGGCGATCAAAATCTACGAAAGCTGTTGAGTAATTTGGCTTTGTCTTGTTGTGACACCAAAACAATATTTGTTTAGTCTCTCTTTTATTTGTTGTATCGCATGTTTCATGGTTTTATTGTTCTTTCCTTATGTTTCTCTTACCCGCACTATCCATCTTTTGTTGGGCTTGCCTTTTCTTCTGTTTCCATCTGATTCCTGGTTGTATTCTCTAGCTGCTATACTATCTGGTTGAAGTCTTAACAAATGTTCAAATCATGTCTTTGTTTAGCCCCCCCCCA